TTATTATTGACTTTTTATTAGAAAATTTTAGAATGGATAAAATGAAATTTTTGTTATTCCAATCTAATATTAAAAATAGAGTTTGCGATCTTACAAATTTGTTTCTCGATACAGCGAAAATAATAAGAAATGCAATAAAATAACACAGAATATAGAGAAAAACAAATTTTCAATGAAATATAAGCAATATGACAAAATTATAGAGATATAGGAATATGTAATATTCAGATCTTCGTAAAAAAAAAATTTTACATCGGCAATTCTACGCCTTCGCATCCACGATCATCTTTCTTCTGAATATTTTACAATGTCTGGATTTGAAAATATCTTTTCTAAAATATATATATATATCTTTAGCTGATATATTTTGAATTTCTATAAATATTTTTTTTTTAAATCCACCGAATTTTTAAATCTTCTAAATTTAAATATTTGAATCTCGTATTATCATCAGATATAGAATCTAATAACGAATTCTCTCGTTATTATAATTTTCAGATTCGAGTGAAGACGAATGTCGAGGCAAATATTTCAGCGAACTAATTTCACGGTTATAATTGAGAGCTAATGAATAAACTTATCGTAGCGTAAACCAGAAAGTCACTTTCGTTGTGAAGTTTAAGAAACGTAGAAACTCTACGGATTATTCAGAATGAGAAACACGTTCGCCGCTCAAAAACTTTGAAACTTGTCTGTTTTCTTAACTGTGGAAATATTATTATCTTAATCAAGAATTATCTTAATTAAGAAACACGAGACATTCTATAATTTTAATCAAAATGCTTTTATCCGGATTTCCAGCTATATCTTTCTAAAACTTATTGTAATAAAAATTGCTGCATTTTCACTTCACGTGATATTTCCAAATTAAAAAAAAAACAAAACGAACGAATACATTTGAATTTTTGAAATTTATATCATCACGACATGATTTAATAGTTAGCCCGCCAAATTCAAATTTCGAACTCTATCATTGTCCGGATATTAACAAATCTATACAAGAATAATACTTCAGAAAATAATTGCTAATAGTATACAATCCTCGATAGAAACCTCAAACAGATACCTCATCGTTGTAAAATATTCACAAATTGCAAAGGCAAGTAACATAATCAGTAACCGTGTGTACAATTTCAAGGGATACCTCGCCTCTCACATTCGTCACACAAAATACGAAATATTTTTGCACACTTGCAGAATAATTAAACTGTTACTCGCAGCGAGGATTGCAGAGAAACAAATTAATTAAGCCGGAGAACTTTCCTTTCGTACCAGGACAATTTAATCCCGTACTCGGCTGGGTGGACAATCCGCGTTTGTCGAGGCACAGTTTGTCGCCGTTTTTGTGGGCTAATCGTTGGAAAATGGAAAATCGATTCCTCGGCGAGGGAGGAGGAAGAGGAAGAGGAAGAGTGAAAGAGAGAGAGAGGGGGAGGAAAGAACGAGCGCGCCTTGAATCACAATGCGCCCCTCGCGTTTATTACACTGCCATAATTACGATTCGATTCCAATCGCGGATTCGTATAGCGGCCTGATTTTTAAATCCCTTTACCAGGCTAGTATTGTGTTACTCTCTCTCTCTCTCTCTTTGTCTCGATGGATAGCTCATGTCAACAGGGCCCGTGTTGCTCGATTCGAAAGTGAAAAAAGAAAAACGTTTTATTTATTTATTTATTTATTTTTTTGTTATTGGAATTCAATTTCTTTTCGTTTATTTATACTTCTTATTTTTAATTCAAGCTCGTAATTAGATCTTGTTATCTTCAGAAAATATTCGTGATTCTAAATGTCAGAAGTGGAAAAATTCTGGTATGCAAAAATACTTTGGTTAGTAGTTTTTATTTATCGAGTTACAAGTAATTTAAGTTTACATTAGATAAAGCGAGATATAAACGGAACGAAACGTTTTATTCTGTTTCGTCTCAAAGTAATTCAATGAATAAACCTCGATCGATATTTTTGTACATCATCTTCGTTTTGACTTCTAAATATACGAATATATATTAATACTTTATAAAAAAAAAAAAAAAATAGTTCTTTAAAAGATCTCGCACAGAGTATAAATTTTTCTAAAGCTATTAGAAATTTCCAAACGGAAGGAAAATTCACAAATTATGCGACACACGGAAGGGTTGAAAAATCAATACATGAATCAATCATAAAACTTTCGAAAATGAATACTTTTCAATTCCAGACGTCTCTAATGATACACGTAATGGTGCACATGTTCGATCAGGTCGGCTCGATGGACAGGAATGATTCATGAATTTCGATTTCGCCCATCGTCGGTACCCTCGTGTCCACGCGAGGAGGCCATCTTCAAAGCGGCACGCCATAATAGTCCCATAGACTTCGTAATAGCTTCTAGATTGTTACCGTCTATGAAATTTCCGCGGAAGTGGAGTGTGCACTTAAGCAGCCGGCGAAGAACAGAGGGTAGAACCGAGCGAATTTTCAGACGCGGTTAAGAGAATTTTCCACGGGTGAAAATGCCGGTGAAAGAAGAATTCTCCCAGGTTTTTCCTATTCTCCATTGTATCCTCTTAATTTCGCGTCTTTTGTACGTCTATAACCAACGAACCATCGTCGAGCCGGAAGAATGTGTGGACAATGTTGTTACGATCGATTGATTTTACGTATTTTATCTTAGATGATTCGTATTTTAAAATACGTGCAACGCGGTTTTAAAATTTTATTATTAAGTGAAAATGTTAAACAATTTTAAGATGATCCATTTCCGTTTCTATTCACTTCGAATTAATCTTAAAATGCGTTGCTAATCGAAAAAGATTGAGAAACACTGGTCTGATGTGAAGCAAAAAATCGAGAATCACGTTGAAAGGTTAATTTTGTTAAAAAAAGAAGTCTTTCGTAATAATTTTCAGCGCGCTTTAGCTGCGAACCTAAAAAACTATGCGTCACTCCAGAAGGAGAAGTCGTATATTGCCCGGAAGTCTGCTTAAAAGAATCCTGCAGAGAGCCGAATAAATGAGCGTCCTTAGAAATCGTTTCATCTCGCTTCAAGGAAATCTCGCTGTAAATGGCGGTGTGCGTTTCGCAATGTATTTTTTTTTTTTTTTTTTACAATGAGAAATAATCGTGAGGATTGTTTCGAATCGAAGCGAGGCAAAAATTAAAATGGGAAATTTCGTTCCTCGTGTAAAATGTTGCGATCTCCAACTCGTACTCCTCCAAGCACATCATTTCCCTGATATCGATTCCTCCAAATAGTCTGCTGCTTAACCGTAATATATCCGCTTTTAACCGCTAAAACGTCGAAATCGGGTCACTGCTCGACCGATATCTCTTTTCTCCTTCCCATTATCCCGATCCCATCAATTATTTGTAATTGTTCCTCTCCTCCCTCTCCAGGCCCATGCGAATATAGATCCTGTTTTTAAATCGTTTATCAATAGATGATAAGCTCCAAGTTTCTTACGTGGAAAATGGAATTTTGGAAATGGAAAAGTTTGTTGTATTCAAACATCGATAATATCATTTTACGAGAAAATGGTCAGAAAATTTCATCTAATAACGAAGAATGAAAGCGTATTGCCATTTCTTCAAATTGGTTTGTGATCAATGGATAGATGAGATTGAAGTTTTCTTATTTGTACAATATTTGTCCAGCTGTTGTTGAAACTATGGATTTGAAGTTTGACTGTGGTTGAAGTTGATGTATATCGAACTATAGTCCGAGCATAGTCATATCGTATACCATTTATCAATTTTTGTAATTATTTTCTACCAAGTTTTTACTTGTGTACTTTAATATATTATTCGATCGATGCTCTTGTACGCAAAGTTTAGAAATGTTTTATTCATATATGTCGTTAGTTCATTGTACCATGTGGCAGGGATATAATAACGAAAAAATATTTTCCCTTTTCCTCCAAAGCGAAAATAGAAACAATCCAGAAAATTTCATCCAATAACGAGAATAAAAAGCGTACTGCCATTTCTTTAAATGGAAAAAAAAAAGTAGTCAAACAATAGTTCAGCGGAATTACCTGTAAAATGTTATTTTACAATTTAATAATTTAACAATAGGGTTTGTTTTCGAACGAAAAGAAGAGGGATAAAAAAGACAAATAACAGCGAACGCCTGGAGATTTTTGATATTTAATTCGAAGGAATTAACGGCGCGCCTCAAGGAACCGGAAGTCGTTCGTAAATCATCGCTGTTTCATTACCGCTTTTGCGGAAGAGAAACGCTTTATTTCTCGAGATACCAGTGCCAGGTGGGAAATAATTTCATCGCGACCAAACAATATCTGGCCGCCAAACTTGCTGCTTTTGAATTTCAACTCGAGCATAGTCGTTATGCGGAAACCATGCCGCCATGGAGGGGGATCGTTACTTTCCTTTTTTCACTCTCTTCCTCTGTCTCTCTCTCTTTCTCTCTCCCTCCTCTTTCGTTTCCTTTGGTCACGGCATCCGTCCCTCCGTGCTACGTGACTGCCTCTGGAAAATGTTCTTCAATTTTAACCGCGACACGGTTAACAGCGGGAAAAGATAAATAACCTCTTGCCTTGGCTCTCCTCTTCATTTCCAAAATGGTTGGAATGATCTATTCTTGTGGCCTAGGTGAATTTTTAAAAGTTTCCTGGGGAATATCATTTTTGAAGGAGGGCGGTTAGGAAAGGTGGAGTTCGCGTAGAATGAAACGATTAATGTCTCGAGGAGGAGGAATTTTATTCTTCGCGATGAAATATGGAGGATATGGAATCTTTTGGAAAAAGATAGTTTGAATATTTCAGATCGATGAGATTTATTATATTTCATTGGAAATTAAAAAATATTTTATAGATTAAATAAATGAACTATTTAGAATTATATATGTGTGTATACATATGCATATTTTTAAATAAAATGAAACGTGTAGTAAAAAATTATAAAAATAAGAGATTGTGATCAATTTTCACAAAAAAGCAAATATTTGTTGCTATCTACATATCTATCTTTAGTTATTTAATTATGTTAATTTTAATGTGTTTCAGGTAAGTTGACAGAATCCAAAGTTTTATTCGGAAATTACTTGTTCCAATAAGGTAAGTATAATGTGTAAAGTTTTGATTAAGTTTACAAAGACATTATACATGAATCTTAATAGAGTATAAATTATGATTATTTATATGTGCAAAGATTGTTGAGAAATTGAGATTTTTGATACGAAAATTATCATTGCAAAATGGAAAATGTTAGGAAAATGCTAAACAGACAAACTGGATACTTAATTATAGAAGATAATTTAAAGATTCGGTTAATCAACGAATAAAATATTAATTCTTGATATTTAAAGATTTTCAAAACATTATGTAAATTATATAAATATTGGACAGAAATACAGGCAGTGGTAAATTAAACGCACTACAGAGCTGCATTTATCGTAGTCAACCGATTCATTTTCACGGACCATCCATAAACGAAATGTCCTATTTTCCTTAAATGATGTGTTTACTCGGCTTTTGCATAAAATCTTATTCATTCAATTTTCTTTATTCTTCTTCTTCTTCTTATTTCATTTTCAATAATTTCTTTCATTAAATTATTTATACGAATTTACTTGCTTTATTATCAACTATTTTTTTTATATTCAATTTCAATTTAATAATTTTCTAATTGCACGGTATTATTAGACTTATAGTTCGTTTAATTCGACGAGATTGTCACGTGCATTGTACAATATTGGAACAACAAATTCTCACAAGCCAACAAACGAAAGTGGAGCTCGAAACGAGGCGTCAAAAATCAGAATATTCGACCATACACGGTTTTACTTTCATCAGTGTAATGTCATCGCGTATAATCAGGATTATCTAATGGCAACCGCATGTGAAAGTATTGATTATGCTTCACGTAGCTTCG